TGTTAAGAGAGTGGGAAATCTGCCTATAGCAATTGAGAGGTAGGACTTTTGGGAGGTAACTAGGATTAGATGAATTCATGAGGGTGGGGCATTCGTGGTTTATAAGAGGAGAAAGAGAGAAATGAGCTAGCATGCCTGATCCCCCTTCACCGTGTGCACCCTGGGCTGCCTTGGGAATCTGCAGAGAGTCCCTGCTGGCAAGAAAGTCCTTACCAGAATTGTCCCTCAACCTTAGACTTCCCAGTCTCCAGAACTGTAAGAAACAAATCCATTTTCTTTATAAATTATTCAGTGTCAGGTATTCAGTTACAGCAACAGAAAATAAACTAAGACAGAAAATTGATACTGAGGAGTGGGCCTGTTGCCAATAATAAATCCTGAAAATGTGGAAGTGGCTTTGGAACTGGGTAATGGGCAGAGTTTGGAAGGCTTTTGAGAAGTAGGTTGGAAAAAAGCCTAGATTCTCATGAGGGATTAGAAGACAAGAAGACTGGGGAAAGTTCAGAACTTTTTAGAGATTATTATTATTAATTTTTTTTTTGAGACGGCGTTTCCCTCTTGTTACCCAGGCTGGAGGGCAACGGCGCAATCTCGGCTCACCGCAACCTCCGCCTCCTGGGTTCAGGCAATTCTCCTGCCTCAGCCTCCTGAGTAGCTGGGATTACAGGCACACACCACCATGCCCAGCTAATTTTTTGTATTTTTAGTAGAGACGGGGTTTCACCATGTTGACCAGGATGGTCTCGATCTCTCGACCTCGTGATCCACCCGCCTCAGCCTCCCAAAGTGCTGGGATTACAGGCTTGAGCCACCGTGCCCGGCCCCCCTTTTTTGAGATTATTTAAGTGGTAATGACCAGAATGCTGACAGAAATATGGACAGTAAAGGCCATTCTGATGAGGCCTGAGATGAAACTAAGGAACAGGGAGCTGGAAACTGAAGTAAAGACCATCCTTGTCATAAATTGGCAAATAACTTGGTTGGATTGTACCCACGTCCAAGGGTTTTATGGAATGCAGAATTTAAGAGCAATGGATTAGGATAGGCGGCAAAAGACATTTAAGATGCAAGGCACTAAGGCATGTCTACCTGGAACTGTTTTCATAAGGCTGCAACAGTAAAACGTGACATAAAGACAATTTAGACTCAAAAGAAAAGCAAAACAGACTTGGAAAGCTCTCAACCTGGCCACATAAAGAACAAACATTTTTGTTTGAGAGACTAAAAGATGGGTATGGCCCAGCAAGTGGTTGTTAAAGAGATTAATACAGCTAGAAAGGAACTAGGTAGTAATCATCAGGACAGTGAGAGAAAGACCCTGAAGGCATTTTAGAGATCTTGAAGGATGCTCCTCCCATCACAGGCCCAGAACCCTAGGAGGGAAGAATTTTTGTGCTTGCTACAGGCTCAATGCTGAGAGCCACCTCAGGTCTCTACTCCCCAAATTCTGGCACAAAGGTCCTTGACTGTCTCAGCTGTGGCCCCAGGTGTGGCTCAACCTTCTGCTCCAAAAGACACAAGCCATGCATAAGCCTTGGTGGTATTCATATGGTGCTAATTCTGATACCCCGTAGTATCCACATGTGCTAATATCCACATGGTGCTAAACTCAGAAATCTAGAGCTGTGAAAGCATGATGAACTCCATCTAGGTTTCAAAGGATGTATCAGACAGCCTCGAGTCCCAGGCACAGACTCTTTGCAGGGGCAATGCTTAGTGAAAATGTGGCGTCAGAGCTGCCATAGGGTTCCCACCAGAGAACCTCCAATGCCTAGTGGAGCCGAGGCAGTTGAGCCACCGTCAAGACTCCAACTATAAGGCCACCAGCATGCAACACAAGCCTAGGAGAGCTGCAGACACAAGACTCCAACTCATGAGAGCTGGATGGACGGAGGCCATCAAAGCCTTACAGGTGAGAATGCCCAAGGCCTTAGGGGCCCAACCACTGCACCTGTGTGCAGAGGATGCTGAACACGGAGTCAAAGGAGACGACTCTTCACCTTTAACATTTAATGTCTGTCCTGCTAAGTCTTGTCTGTCCTGCTAAGTCTCAGACTTGCTTTAGCCTGGATACTCCTAACTTTGGGTGTACTGCTCCCTTTTGGAATGGGACTGTGTACCCCTATGCCCGCCCCACCATTGTATCTCGGAAGTAGACAGCTTGCTTTCATTTCACAGATGAGACTCTCGTCTTTGGATTTCTGAGTTGTACTGAAATAGGTTAAGACTTTGGGGGCCCAGGGATGGAATGCTATGGTTTGACTATTTGTCCCCTCTGAAACTCATGCTGAAACTTGACTTCCATTGTAACAATGTTAAGAAGGTGACAAATCTGACTATGGTGTTTGAGAGGTGGGACTTTGCGGAGTTAATTAGGATTAGATGAGGTCATTAGAGTAGGGCATTCGTGGCTTTATTAGAAAGAGGTGTTGACTAGCATACTTGAGCCCCTTGACATATGATGCCCTATACCTCCTCTCTAGACTCCACAGAGAGTCCTCACTGGCAAAAAGGCCCTTACCAGATGTAGCCCCTCACCCTTGGATTTCCCAGCCTCCAGAACTGTAAGAAATAAATTCATTTTCTATGTAAATTATCCAGTCTCAGGTATTCAGTTACAGCAACAGAAAACAGACTAAGACACATGCCCATCAATGGGATTGCTGGATCACATGGTCATTCTATTTTTAATTTTTTGAGGAACCTCCATGCTGCCTCCCATAATGGCTGTACCAATTTGGCTGCCACCAACAATCTGTGAAGTTTCTCTTTCCTCCACGTGTTCACCAAGATTTAACCTTTTCACCTTTTGGTAACAGTCATCCTAACAAGTCTGAGGTGATACCGCATCGTGGTTTTGATTGGCCTCTCCCTCACACTTAGTGATGTAGAGAACCTTTTCATGTACCTATCCGTATGTCTTCTTCAGGAAAATGTCTGTTTAGGTCCTTTGCTCATTTTTCAATAAAGTTATTTGTGTTTTTCTGGCTATTTAGTTGTATGATTTCCTTGCATATTTTAGATATTAATCACTTTCAGCTATGTGGTGTGCAAATATTTTCTCCCATTCTATGGGCTGCTTTTTAATTTAGTTGTTTCCTTTGCTTTTAAATTTGATGGACTCCCACTTGTCTATTTTCGCTCTGTTGCCTGTGCTTTTGATTCGTATCTAAAAAAATCATTGCAAGCACCAATGTCCCGGGGCGCTCCCTTCTGTTTTCTTTTAGGAGTTTTACAATTGCAGGTGTTATATTTGTCTTTAATCTATTATGAGTTGATTTTTATGTATGGCGTAAGATAGGATCCAATTTCCCCTTTTTACATTTTCTTAGCTATACCAGTCTTATCTGGCCATACTCTGTGGATAATAGAATGGCCAGTTATGTTGCAGGCACAGAGCTAAGAAGCTGTGAAACCACGCCCCCCAAGAGTTAAAGAAACCAGTGGCTAACAGAAATTCTTGAGCGTACAGGATGGCAGATATGAAAGAGTTTGCTGACACTCTGTCTGTTTGTAAGATAATACAACTGGCTGAAATCAGTTGAAACCAATATAACCAACTGGAGTCCATGCAGAGGGAGCTTGCTTATGTTGCGGTCTGAATTTCCACTGCAGTTTTCACACTAACTCTACCTTAACTTGCATATGGAACCCCAAGAAGAGGCTGGAAGAGACAACTGCACATGCTCGGGGATTTCCAGACCTCCCCTTTCCTTCCACCAATCACCTGTGAATCCAGGATCCACCCCCGAAATCTTTTTTCATGAAATTGCTGCCTTAAGGCCAGCACAGAGATATAAATTTGAACTAAATTTCTGTCACTTTGTTGGTCAACTCACAAGTAGGCTTTTCTTTTCTCAAACAGCTGGTGCCATAGTATTGGCTTCTGTGTACATCGGGGAATGAGCCCTTTTGCTCATAACAGTATTTGGATATCCAGTTTCCTCACGCTATTGAAGGAATCCTTTCCCTATTGTGTATTCTTGACACAAAATTAGTTGCTTTGCCGAAGATAAGTTGATTGTATACGCACGAGGTTATTTCTGGTGTTTCTATTCTGTTCCATATCAATCTATGTGTCTGCTTTCATGCCAGTACTTCGCTGGTTGAGTTCTACCTCTGGGAATATTTAAATGTAAGAATTCTCTAATCACTGGAGGTCTGAAACAATTCACTAAGCAACCCAATAATGATGCTTTCTGGCAAAGGATCTCTGAATTTGCTTTCAATTTGTGCATTAAATTGGGTCAAATTTGGTACATCTTGTCCTGGACTATGTTACTTGTGTCACAAATAATCAAATTTATTAGTATAGAATGGATGTTCACGCGACTTCCTATTTGTCTGTGGTTATTTCTCTTTTCATCTCTCTCCTCTCTCTCTCCCCCCACCCCGCCCCATCTCCCTATCATAAAGATACTGACTTACCTACAATTTTCCCTATGACCCGAGTTATGGATCAACTTTACCTTTTTCTGTTAATTCTTACCTCTTTTCCATACATATATTTAATTTTTTTTTCTGGTTTCAATTGTCTGAAGTATTGGTGGGCCGGGCGCGGTGGCTCACGCCTGTAATCCCAGCACTGTGGGAGGCCAAGGCGGGCGGATTGCTCAGGTGTTCGAGACCAGCCTGGGCAACATGGCGAAACCCCGTCTCTACTAAAATACAAAAAGTCAGTCGGGCTGCCTGCGGGCGCCCGTAGTCCCAGCTGCTTGGGAGGCTGAGGCAGGAGAGTTGCTGGAACCCGGGAGGCAGAGGTTGCGGTGAGCGAGACCGCGCCACTGCACTCCAGCCTGGGCAACAGAGGGTCACTCCGTCTCCAGAAAAAAAATAATAAACTTAAAAAAAGTATTGGAGGATTCGGTTTCCCTTTATGTTCCTCAGAAAACCTTGCGAGCCTGTTTGGCGTCACCGCGTTTCCCGGCGACAGGCACTTCCGGACGCGGGGCACCCTGGGAAGTTGAGTTCGCGCGGACTCCGTCCCTCGGCGCATGCGCACATACACTCTTGGCAAAGCCTGCAGGTTGCGCTTTCTTCCTCTTTGTCCTCAGGTGCCACGTGAGAGGGGAGTGTGCGCGTGCGCAGGCCCCGACTCGTCCCGGCCCGTGCGGAGCCGCCGGGAGCGCACAGAGACCGACGGCTCGGGCGCGTGCGCGGGGCGCGGTGGCCTGGTGGCGTCACGTGATCGCGGGCCGCGGGCGCGCGGGCGCGGGCGCGGGAGCGAGTCGGCGGCGGCGTCTTTTGTGAGTTCAGCGCGTTCCGCGCGTTTATTGCGGGGCGGGCGCCGGGTCTTCGGGGACGGCGGGGGAGGCGCGCGGGAGCGGCCGCGGGGCCTTCGGCTTCCAGGCCTGGGACGTCCGCGCGCGGATTCGGGGCCGGGGCTGGGTGGGGCCGGGCCGGGCGGCGAGGACGCCGCGGCCGCGGAGCCGTGCGGGTTCCGGGCTGTGGCGCGGGCACGGCCTCTCCGGAGGCGCCGCCCCTGGGCGACCTTTCGGGCGGGCGTGCAGGCGCCGGCGGGGGCCTCGGGGGCGTCCGGCCGGGGCCCGCCCCGTCCTCCGGCCGTTCCCGGAGGAGCCGCGCCCGCCGCTGTCGGAGGAGGGTCGGAAGCGCCGGGACCGCGGTGCGGGCCCCCAGACCTGGCCCTGTGTTTTTTTAGTGGTGACATTTGACTGTTTAAAACATTTTAATGTCTTTTCCCTTTTGTATCATGTGTAGCGAAATCTCCCCTCAGATTATACATACATTCATTCACCTGTGGCTTTTTTAAAAAATTTTTTGAGACGGAGTTTCGCTCCTTGTTGCCCAGGCTGGAGTGCAATGGCGCGATCTCGGCTCACCGCAACCTCCGCCTCCTGGGTTCAGGCAATTCATCCTGCCTCAGCCTCCTGAGTAGCTGGGATGACAGGCACGCGCCACCATGCCCAGCTAATTTTTTGTATTTTTAGTAGAGACGGGGTTTCACCATATTGACCAGGATGGTCTCGATCTCTCGACCTCATGATCCACCCGCCTCGGCCTCCCAAAGCGCTGGGATGACAGGCGTGAGCCACCGCGCCCGGCCTACCTGTGGCTTTTTAAAATGCATTCTTAGGGTTTCCATTATTTTAAATTTTAACCCATCTGGAGGTAGTTGTAATGTATGAAATAACTGTCTTTATTTTCTTTCGAATATTCTATTCATTAAATAATTTTTACTCATGGCTTTGAAATGCTGTATTTATTGTATGCTGACTCTTGCATATTTAGACAGTTCTGCTTTTTTCCATCTGTATAACCTCTCTGGAGCCAGTGTCAAATGTTCTAATGATTATAACTATGTTTTATAGTGGGCTTGTTCACACTCATTATTTTGTATTTCCAAAAGTGTCCAGGCCGGGCGTGGTGGGTCATGCCTGTAACCTACTCTGTAGGCTGAGGTGTGAGGACCACTTGAGCCCAGGATCAAGGCCGCAGTGGGCTATGGTTATGCTATTGCACGTCAGCCTGCACAGCAGAGTAAGACCCTGTCACAAAAAAAAGTGTCCAAACTGTTCCTGAAGCTTTTTTCTTACACATAAACTTTAGAATTGCTTGTTAAAGAAAAAAATTTTGAGATTATGGACTTGAATGAGTTATGTAAATCATCTGAGGTCAAATTATCTTTACAATATGAAGTCTTCCTATCCCAAAACAAAATCTAATTATAAATTTCTTTAATTCCATTTTTATAGTTCTCATTGGTGTTTTTAGTATGCTTCATATGGGTCTTGATATTCCTACATATTTTATTTATTTTTAAAATTATGGGTAGGGTTTTTTTTTCCGTTATTTTATATAAGTTGTTGATATTATAGAAATAAGGTTATTGGCCTGGAAAGATGTTCTTCACAAAGTAGGGAAAAAAACAAAAACAGTTTTAAAATGTGACCGTATACTTCCATTTTATGAGCAGTATCATAATAGTTTCCATCATCTCCAAATTGGTTACCTGTGGTGAGAACATAGATAATTATTTCTTATTTAACTTGTGTAGATTTTTTATATTTTGCCATCATATTTTACTTTTATAATAGTTATGTGACTGTGTGTCAGCTTCTGTTCTAAGATACATGTATTATCACAATCTAAGGTGTAAATGATTCATTTCTTGTATAACTGGGAGAAAAATGCTGTGTTTTTCTGCGTTGGCACTGAAGTTTGAATCACAGAAAGGCATGAAAAAGAAGTGCTGCTTGTTAGTATGATGCAGGATTGAGGCAGGCTGTCCTTCATTTGTGTTTTTGTGGAAAGTAGTGACTGTCAGTGCATGGGAATAGGAGGTGATTCCAGGATTTATGTTGTGTGTTTGTGCATGTAGATATGCACAAATGACATTATGATTTTAGTAGTACATGCTTTGAATATAGCAAGATAGAGAAGTAACATTTGAATTTTGCTTTTTACTAAATGTGCAATCACAAGCACGTTTTACAATCACTCTGTGTCCCAGTTTCTCTCTGTAAAGTGGAGATTATGTTAAATGCCTTACAGGGTTGTGGATAAGAGTTCAATTTAAAATACTTAGTAAGGGCCGGGCGCGGTGGCTCAAGCCTGTAATCCCAGCACTTTTTGAGGCCGAGGCGGGTGGATCACGAGGTCAAGAGATCGAGACCATCCTGGTCAACACGGTGAAACCCCGTCTCTACTAAAAATACAAAAAATTAGCTGGGCATGGTGGCACGTGCTTGTAATCCCAGCTACTCGGGAGGCTGAGGCAGGAGAATTGCCTGAGCCCAGGAGGCGGAGGTTGCGGTGAGCCGAGATCGCGCCATTGCACTCCAGCCTGGGTAACAAGAGCGAAACTCTGTCTCAAAAAAATAAAAAAATAAATAAATAAATAAATAAATAAAATACTTAGTATATAGCCGGGTGCGGTGGCTCAAGCCTGTAATCCCAGCACTTTGGGAGGCTGAGGCGGGTGGATCACGAGGTCAAGAGATCGAGACCATCCTGTTGAGGTTGGTCCATGTTGAAATGTTGACCATGGTGAAACCCCGTCTCTACTAAAGATACAAAAAAAAAATTAGCTGGGCATGGTGGCGCGTGCCTGTAATCCCAGCTACTCAGGAGGCTGAGGCAGGAGAATTGCTTGAACCCAGGAGGCGGAGGTTGCGGTGAGCCGAGATCGCGCCATTGCACTCCAGCCTGGGTAACAAGAGCGAAACTCCGTCTCAAAAAAAAAAAAAAAGACTTAGTATATTGTGTCACACATAGAAAGCACTGGAATGTTAGCTGTAACAGTTATTACAAGGCCCTAGTCACTTTCCTTTTAATGTCTCATTTGTTTCTTAGACTCTCACTGTGAGGTCTATTTTATCCTCACCATTTTAGCAAATACAGAAATTGAGGCTTTGAAGGCAAGAAAGGAAGGGGAAGAAAAACAATAACCACAATAAACATTAAATGTATTCAGTTTGTCAGTTAAAAGACAGATTGGACTGGGTGCAGTGGCTCACGCCTGTAATCCCAGCACTTTGGGAGGGCAGATCACGAGGTCAGGAGATCGAGACCATCCTGTCCAACATGGTGAAACCCCATCTCTACTAAAAATAGAAAAAAAATTAGCTAGGCATGGTGGCACGTGCCTGTGGTCCCAGCTACTTGGGAGGCTGAGGCTGAAGAATTGCTTGAACCCAGGAGGTGGAGGTTGCAGTGAGCCGAGATTGTGCAGCTGCACTCCAGCCTGGTGACAGAGTAAGACTCCGTATCAAAAAAGAAAAAAGATTGTTGGTTTGGATTTTTGTTGCGTAGACTGGAGTGCAATGGCGTGATCCTGGCTCACTGCAACCTCCACCTCCCAGGTTCAAACAATTCTCCTGCCTCAGCCTCCCGAGTAGCTGAGATTACAGGGGCATGCCACCTTGCCTGGCTAATTTTTGTGTTTTAAATAGAGACAGAGTTTCACCATGTTGGTCAGGCTGGTCCTGAACTCCTGACCTCAGGTGATCCACCTGCCTCAGCCTCCCAAAGTGCTGGGATTATAGGCGTGAGCCACCGCGCCTGGCCGGTTGGATTTTTTTTTTTTTTTTAAACACCAATAAATTTGAATTCTCAGTTGCTCGTAAGAGACAAACATAAGGATGCTGAAATTTTAAGTCGTTGAACAGATGATAACGTACCAGGTAAATACCAAAAGAATGCTAAAGCCAGGTGTGGTGGTTTATGTCTATAATCCCAGCACTTTGGGAGGCTGAGGTGGGAGGATGGCTTGAGCCCAGGAGTTCGAGACTGTCCTGGGCAGCATAGCGAGATCCTGTCTCTACAAAAAAAACAAAAAACAAAAAACAAAAAACCACACACAAAAAGTTAGCTGAGCATGGAGGCACACACACCTGTAGTCCCAGCTACTTGGGAGGGTGAGGCAGTAAGATCCCTTGAGCCCAAAGTTCAAGGTTGCAGTGAGCTATGATTGTGCCACTGCACACCAGCCTGGGTGAGAGAGCAAGAGCCTACCAAAAAAAAAAGACTGACGTTGCAGACTTCATCTAAGATAAAATAGATTTTAAGGCAAAAAACATTATTTGGGATCTGAAGCATTGTTAACATCCTCTATTTAACCTCTGTGCATCAAACAACATAGCCTTACACATATAATCCAAACATCAGCAGAATTACAAGGAAAAACTGACCAACCTATAGTCATACTGTGAAATTTTAACCCATTTCCTTCTGAAATGGATAGAATTGGCAGACAAAAGTTAAGGACGTATTAATACAAGATTTTATTAGGAAACTAAGGCTCAGAATGGTGAAATTTGTGTTTTTGCCAAACATCTTCTAGCTTGTAAAGGAAAAAGTTTGATTGAAACTCAAAGCTATTTTAATACAAATCATATAAACTATTAAGCTGATTTGCATTTCAGTGTTCACAGTGAATATTGAGTGAATCTCACAATTATTTTATTTCTGATATATGTATATATTATGTGTGTGTGTGTGTGTGTATATATATATATATATAAAATTTTTAAATTTTTTCTGAGACTGAATCTTGCTCTGTCACCCAAGCTGGAGTGCAGTGGCGCTGTCTTGGCTCACTGCAACCTCTGTCTCCCAGGTTCAAGCAATTCTCCTGCCTCAGCCTCCTGAATAGCTGGGATTACAGGTGCGTGCCACCACACCCGGCTAATTTTTGTATTTTTAGTAGAGACGGGGTTTCACCATATTGGCCAGGCTGGTCTCAAACTCCTGACCTAGTCGATCCACCCACCTCAGCCTCCCCAAGTGCTGAGATTACAGACGTGAGCCACCCCACTCAGCCTCTGATATTTCTTTATCTGTTTGCAGAGACATAGGCTTCCACTGTTCTATTTTTACTATATTGTTTCCCTGAGAACCCTGTTTCAGTTATATAGAAAGCACACCTCTGGCCTTAGGTAATCATAAATTCAAAGTTCCTAGCAAGAGAGAAAAAGATTCCATGTGCAATGTGAATATACCAGTTGAAGTACATTTGTCTCAAAGTCCACAGATCATGGTCCCTACAAATAAGCCTGCTCATGTGAGATAAGAAAGGAGTTCTTGGAACCAGGAATTCGTTCTCAGTGTAGAAGACCTAGCCAAGACCTCACTCCAGAGTCGTGGGTCAGATTTCAGACTTGCTAAGCGTCTCGTACTGCAGCAGAAAATGACCATGTTACAGGTAAGTTGATCGTTTAGTTCTCACTTTTTCCCCAGGGAATTAAAAGAAATGTATAAGCCTTCCAGTGATAGAGAAGTTTAAATAGTTAAGAAATCGGAGGAAAATAGGCTCAGAATAGATGATTAGGATTGGAACAAAATTGGCACAATGATATATTAACTATTGGATCATGACAGGTTCTTAGAGTTGAATATTTATAGCATATTTAAAGCCATAATATCTTTTTACTTTTATTTTTATTTATTTATTTTTAAGACAGGGTTTCACCATGTTGGCCAGGCTGGTCTTGAACTCCCGACCTCAGGTGATCCGCCCGCCTTGGCCTCCAAAGTGCTTGGATTACAGGCGTGAGCCACTACGCCCGGCCCTAAAGCCATAACATCTTACATAATTATTGCATTGAGCCACAGCCCCTGGCCAGATGGATGATTTTATTGGAAGCTGCAAAATGGTGACATACTACTTTTATCATTTCTTCTTATCAGCTGGAATACTGTTTTCTAGCATGACAAAATATATCTAGGCACAGTTTTTAATTTTTTTTTTTTTTTTTTTTTTTTGAGACGGAGTTTCGCTCTTGTTACCCAGGCTGGAGTGCAATGGCGCGATCTCGGCTCACCGCAGTCTCCGCCTCCTGGGTTCAGGCAATTCTCCTGCCTCAGCCTCCTGAGTAGCTGGGATTACAGGCACGCACCACCATGCCCAGCTAATTTTTTGTATTTTTTAGTAGAGACGGGGTTTCACCATGTTGACCAGAATGGTCTCGATCTCTCGACCTCGTGATCCACTCGCCTCGGCCTCCTAAAGTGCTGGGATTACAGGCTTGAGCCACCGCGCCCGGCCCAGTTTTTAATTTTTTTAATTCCAGACCTGCAGTTAGCCATTTCTACAATAAATGGTATCTGAAATTTTGTTAATTAGAAGAATTTTCTTGCCAAAGCATGGAAATACACTATGTTTTTGCATATTGACTTTGTATACAGGAATTTCTTAAGCCCACTTATTAGTTCCAGTGATTTTTCTTTAGATTTGATTAGATTTTTATATTAACAAAAACATCAGAAATAACTTTTTTCTCCTTTCTGTTTAAAGAGACATGGTCTCACTCTGTCACCCAGGCTAGAGTGCTCACTGGAGCCTTGAACTCCCGGGATCAAGCACTCCTCTCACCTCAGCCTCCCAGATAGATACGAGCACAGGCATAAGCTACTACGTCCAGCTAGTTTAAATTTTTTTTTTTTTTTTTTGGTAGAGACGGGATCTCACTGTGTTGCCCGGGCTTGTGTGGAACTCCTGGCCTCGAACAGTTCTCCTGCCTCAGTCTATCAAGTAGCTGAAATTATAGGCATGAGCCAGCACATCTGGCCGAATTATTTTATGTAAATGTTTGGAAGAATCACCACTAAAACTGCCTAGATTTTGTATTTCCTTTGAAGGAAAGTTAAATTGTGGGGTCAGTTTCTTTAACAGTTACAGGATTAATTCAGATTTAGTTTCTTCTTGTCACGTTGGGCATGTCGTTTTTCAAAGAATATAACTATTTCATCTGTATTGTAAAGTATATTGGCACAAGTTTAGTAGCTTTATTAAAGTATGACGTCAATGAGTTCCACCATTTTAATGTGTAATTCAGTGATTTTTATCTAAACTTATGCTGTATGACCATTCAGCACAATCTGGTTTAGAAGATTTCCATCACCCTAAAACAATCTTTGTGACATTTTTGGTCAATTTGATTTCCATCACCCCAAAACAATCTTTGTGACATTTTTGGTCAGCTCCTCTTCCCACCCCAGCCTAAGACAATCATTAATTTGCTTACTCTTGGCCAGGTGCAGTGGCTCACGCCTGTAATCCCAGCGCTTTGGGAGGCCAAGGTGAGTGGATCACCTGATGTCAGGAGTTTGACACTAGCCCAGCCAACATGGAGAAACCCCGTCTGTACTAGAAATACAAAAATTAGCCGGGTGTGGTGGCAGGCGCCTGTGATCCCAGCTACTTAGGAAGCTAAGGCAGGAGAGTTGCTTGAACCTAGGAGGCAGAGGTTGCAGTAAGCCAAGATCACACCACTTCACTCCAGCCTGGTGACAGAGCAAGACTGTGTCTCAAAAAATTTCACTGAGTGTGGTGGCATGCACTTGTAATCCCAGCTCCTCAGAAGGCTGACATGGGAGGATCACTTGAACCTAGAAGGCAGAGGTTGCAGCGAGCTATAATCATGCCACTGCACTTTAGCCTGGGTAACAGAGCAAAAACTCTGTCTCAAAAAAGAAATAAATAAATTTGCACTATCTGATTTGCTTTTCCCTTTAAGTAATGTGATTTTTTTTTTTCTTTCTAGCTGTTTATGATTTGTCTGGGTATGGATTTCCTTACATCTATTGTCTGGCATTCACTGAACTTCTTGAATTTGTTGGTTTATTTCTTTTGCCAGTTTTGCAGAATATTCAGCCATCATTTCTTGGGAATGTATTTTCACCATGCTCTTTCTTTTCTCTTTTCTGGACTCCTATGACACTCATGTTAGATTCTTTGGTATTATTTGATAGTGTCCTGAGGTCTGTTCATTTTTAAGTCATTTTCTCTCTGTTCAAAACTAACAGTTTCTATTGATCTGTCTTCAAATTCACTGACTCCTCTTAAAGTGTATCATGTGCTATTAGGGTCAAACTTGTTTTTTTATTTTCCAGTGGCATTCTAGATTTTTTAAGGATGTGTGCTTATGTTTTCTTTTTATCTTAGAAGACTTTGAGACAGAAATCTATCTTGATCCAAAGTCTAGTCACCTTTCTAAAATCTATGTTTTTGTTATATCACTCCCTTCCTTGTGAAGTCTTTCATGGCTAACTGTTGGCAACAAGAAGGTATCCTGGCCAAGTTAACCACATTCTGCCCCAGCTCCTACTGTGGCCTTTAATCTAATCACTGTCCAATTCCTCATTAGCCTGTTAGACTGAGGTGTTTGCATCTCCTCAGTCCTCACAGTTTTTTGTTTTTTCTTTTTTAAATCAGAGCTGCTGCCTCCCTGAATACCTTTCCTTTTCTTTGTGGAAAACAACATATTCTAAAACGTATGTAAATGTTAACCTTTTCCATAGAGCCTAACTTGACACTCAAATAGAGCGAAGCTCTCCCTGCTTTTTATCTACACTGTACTCTTGTTTCTCTTAGTTATTACAAGTTTGTTTTATTTGTAAGTGTGCATGTTTGCAGCCCTCTGTAAGACAATGGAACTTTTGAGAGTATTATTTTATTATCTTTCTCCTTGGTATTTTTTGTATTGGTTTGTGTTTGAGGTGGGGTCTCACTCTGTCACCCAGGCTGCAGTGCAGTGGCGCAGTCACAGCTCACTGAAGCCTGGGTCTTCCCACCTCAGCCTTCCAAGTAATTGGGACTACTGGCAATGTGCCATTGTATCCAGCTAATATTTTTATTTTTTATCTTTGTAGAGACAAGGTCTCACTGTATTACTCAGTTTGGTCTCAAACTCTTGGACTCAAGTGACCCTCCTGCCTTGGCCTCTGAAAGTGCTGGGATAGGTGTGAGCCACCTTGACTATCCTGTTCTCTTTCTTTTGCTATTATCTCTTCCAGTGCCAAATATGAGGTTCAGTAAATATATTATTGGTGGTTCGGGGGTTTAAAGTCATCTATTCCAGTTCTCATGTATTCTGTGAAAGTTGTCAGAATCAAAATGGAGTCACTAGTGTTACATATTTTTTTAACCCTGACAAGTAGAGCTGGGAAGCCTGTAAAAAAAGGATTCTCACGCTTGCATGCCTGATAAAAATTATCACAAAAGACTGCAGAAACCACAAACTTGCACAAAGACCATTGAAGCCTTACACAGAAAATACCTTTATTGGGACGTCTGCCCAGCAGCTGCGTGTCCATCTTTGGACTGGTATATCCCTTATTATTGGTCTTTGTAACCAGGGATAACTGTTTCAAAACAATTATGTACTTCATTTTTTTTCTTTAAAAACTTTTGTTTTCCGGCCGGGCGCGGTGGCTCACGCCTGTAATCCCAGCACTTTGGGAGGCCGAGGCGGGTGGATCACGAGGTCAAGAGATCGAGACCACCCTGGTCAACATGGTGAAACCCCGTCTCTACTAAAAATGCAAAAAATTAGCTGGGCATGGTGGCGCGTGCCTGTAATCCCAGCTACTCAGGAGGCTGAGGCAGGAGAATTGCCTGAACCCAGGAGGCGGAGGCTGCGGTGAGCTGAGATCGCGCCATTGCACTCCAGCCTGGGTAACAAGAGCGAAATTCCGTCTCAAAAAAAAAAAAAAAAAAAAACAACTTTTGTTTTCCTTTATCTCCCTGAATACACATATGGTTTACTATGGCGTGTGTCTTCTCATTGCAATACTCTCTTCCCAAATAAACGTCATTTTCTTCTGGACAGCCTCTCTTTTTAATGTTTAGGTTAACAGTTGTATAAATGGAATGATGGAAGAACACAGAATGACGTTTTATCACACAAAATATACAAAGGTAGGGACGTGGTAGGCATTTTGTATAACTTGTTATGAGAATAAGATGCTCAAGCTCCAGTTTTTTTTCTCGCATCATACAGTGTTAACTGCTTCAGATTTACTAGGATTGTGATCTTACAGGAGTCATTCTCATTTGACGATTTATCTGTGGACTTCACGCAAAAGGAGTGGCAGCTGCTGGACCCCTCTCAGAAGAATTTGTATAAGGATGTCATGTTGGAGAACTATAGCAGCCTGGTGTCACTGGGTAATAAAAGCTTTCTTGAGTACCTTGGATTATGCCCAATGCATTGCCTTTTATTTTTAGTTGCTGGGAAGTTTCGGAAGCCTGTAGTTAGGCTTTTGAAATTTTTAATGATTTTGGACCTGAAATTTAGATCATAGTTGCTTGGACTATAACACCAACAAAGTATTTGGGTCTCAGCTTTCAATAATGAAGTCTTAAGTTTGTAACGCTGCCTGTGAGACTTAAGTATTAATAGTTTGACCTCATGCGTGTAACTTCCTGTATGTCACATATTATATGAAGTGCTTTACATATATCAGCTCATTTAATCACCAGAGCAATCCTGTGTGGCAAGTATAATTATTACTCATTTTTTCCTGATGAGAAAATAGAGGCCAAGATAAGTAACTTTCCCAAGAACTAACAGCTGCTAAATTAAAGAGCCTGGATGTAAACCCAGACTTACTGGTGCCAGGGCCTCTGAAGTACCTAACGGCTTTGTTCTAGATCCTGTTAGCCACCAGGGAGACCATTACTGTAACTTGGAGAATTACTTAACCTGTTGAGGTTCAGCTTTATCAGGTCAAGCCTGATGTGAAACCTTGCTCATCTTCAGAGGCCCTAAAGCCCAAGCAGTTGGGCCTAAGGCCTTTGTGATTTTCCCTGAGCAGGGTATGAAGCTATGAAGCCGGATGTCATCTTCAAGTTGGAGCAAGGAGAAGAGCCATGGATAGGAGATGAAGAAATTCCAAGTTCATGTTCTCCAGGTGAGTGTATGAGAACCAGGCAGATGGGAGAAAGTAGAAGTCCCATGCCATCTTGTCAGTGATGGGTTGGCATCTCTGAAATGTGCTTTAGAGATCTCTTCAACATCTCTAAACCTTCGGTGGTGCCTCAGAGCAACGACATTAGCTACTCAAGTAAGTCACATTCAGACGTAGCTTCTTTGTAGCTTATAATGAAATGCATCCTGCTTATCTTGGCCATGACTTTATTATTCTCTGTAACATCTGGTACCTTAACTTCGTGTTTGGTATTCTGTCCTCTCACATGTTTATCTCCTTCAGCTCCTCTTTCCCCTGTGGTCAAAGACATCTCCTTTTGTACACTGAAGCATCTTGATTTTGTCCTCAGTTTGGGTATCTCTGATGGCCAAAGGACCACTTTCCAAAGCCCCAGTCTGTTTAGTCTCATTATATTAGAAAATGGAGCCATCATTTCTCCCAATTTATCCTTATCCTCCCTTTAAAATTAGGTTCCTTTGTGTTTTTTTTTTTCTGCAGATTAGACACCATGGAGTATATGAATAATCCCTTTCTTTCTTTATTTTTTTTTTTGAGATGGTGTCTTTTTCTGCCACCCAGGCTGGAGTACAGTGGTGTGATCTCTGCTCACTGCAACCTCCAGCTCCCAGGTTCAAGCAATTCTCCTGCCTCAGCCTTCCAAGCAGCTGGGACTACAGGTGCATGCCACCATGCCTGGCTAATTTTTTTTTGTATTTTTAGTGGAGATGGGGTTTCACCATGTTGGCCAGGCTGGTCTCAAACTCCTGACCTCATGATCTGCCCAGCTTGGCCTCCCAAAGTGCTGGGATTACAGGCATGAACCATCGCACCCAGCCGAATAATCCCTTTCTACTATCCTTTCATGTTGTTTTAAAGTTTTTTTCTATTTGGAAAGTATCTTCTTAATTTAATTTTATTTATTTTGAGACAGAGTCTTGCTCTTTCACCCAGGCTGGAGTGCAGTGGCACGATCTTGGCTGACTGTAACCTCTGCCTCCCGAGTTCAAGCAATTCTCCTGCTTCAGCCTCCCAAGAACATGGGACCGTAGGCACCTGCTACCACAGCCGGCTAATTTTTGTATTTTTAGTAAAGATGGGGTTTTGCCATGTTGGCCAGGCTGTTCTCAAACTCCTGACCTCATGATCTGCCCTGCTTGGCCTCCCAAAGTGCTGGGATTACAGGCATGAACCACTGTGCCCAGCCGAATAATTCCTTTCTACTATCCTTTCATGTTGTTTTAAAGTTTTTTTTCTATTTGGAAAGTATCTTCTTAATTTAATTTAATTTTTATTTATTTATTTTTTTGAGACGGAGTTTCGCTCTCGTTACCCAGGCTGGAGTGCAATGGTGCGATCTTGGCTCACCGCAACCTCCACCTCCTGGGTTCAGGCAATTCTCCTGCCTCAGCCTCCTGAGTAGCTGGGATTACAGGAACATGCCACCATGCCCAGCTAATTTTTTGTATTTTTAGTAGAGACGGGGTTTCACCATGTTGACCAGGATGGTCTCGATCTCTCGACCTCATGATCCACCTGCCTCAGCCTCCCAAAGTGCTGGGATTACAGGCTTGAGCCACTGCGCCCGGCCTAATTTTATTTTTTTTGAGACAGTATCTTGCTCTTTCACCCAGGCTGGAGTGCAATGGCACGATCTTGGCTGACTGTAACTTCTGCCTCCCGAGTTCAAGCAATTCTCCTGCCTCAGCCTCCCAAGCACATGGGACCGCAGGCACCTGCTACCACAGCCGGCTAATTTTTGTATTTTTAGTAAAGATGGGATTTCGCCATGTTGGCCAGGCTGATCACAAGAACTCCTGACTCTGTGATCCACCCAACTTGGCCTCCCAAAGTGATGGGATTACAGGTGTGAGCCACCGTGCCTAGCTGGAAAGTATCTCTTAAAAGCCTTCCTGCCTCAATTTCACTTAAAAGTAGGTGCATGATGTCTCATTTCTGAAGTTCTCAAATTGCTGGATAGATCCAGATTCTAATATTTTACAAGCTGTCTTAATGATGCCACCATATTTTATTTTCTAAAGCATCCCTCACTACTCTGATCAGCCGAACCTCTTTACTCATTGTCTGCTATGTGACATTGACTTACTTCAGATTCGCTCAAAAGCAGACCCTAACATACGTATGTGAGTATAAGAACTTACTGGGGACATGGTCCCCACACATGTGAGAGAATGGGCAAGTCAGACCAGGAAGTGGTGGAGCATTAACACCCGTGAAGGATGGGCTGACACTCCAACTACTGCCCTGGGTGGTGGATGCTCAGTTTTGCTGAGCACCTTCTGAGGCACTGTGAAAATATTCCTCAGTCTTGACACTGAGGTACTAGGAATTTATTTCTAGTATTTATCTACTCCCAGGTATTTATCTACTCCCATCTCAGTGTTGAGGTTTGCTATGCCATGGTAAGTATCCAGGATGTCCAGGGTCCCTGCGTACAGACCAAACTTGTGCTTTCAGCCCAAGAAAGTTCTTGGTTAGAGAGTTGTGAATGCCTGGGGTAGATATCATGTCAGAAACTGTCAATCAAAGCTGCAGGTATCCTCTGAATTTAGCCGATGGGTATGGGTGAGACAGTGACAGCATCTGCTACAGGCTTGTAATCTCTTCTCTCTGGGACCTCCATTGTATGACACTGTTGTTGCCTGTTCAGTCATTTCTTCCTTCCCCCCATTCATGATCGGTTCTCAAGTGTTTTCAAACATGTAACATCTTGAACTTTTGATGGTATTATACTAGTTACCTAGAAATTCTTAATCCTTTTTATAGGAACTTGGTTTTCACTGCAGTTATATTTATGAAATGTTTCTTGAATACCCAGCCTAAATTGTTCTCACCTTTTTCTGAAGTCACATATGTGACCTGATCATAGTATATATAATATTTGGAACCAACCATTTAAAAAAATACTATAAGGGGCTTAAATTTAATATCTTCACTTTAGTTATAGAACATGCAATATTAAATAAATTTCTTTCCAAAAGCTTTGTCTTTGTTTTTATAGACAGGGTCTTGCTCTGTTGCCCAGGCTGCGGTGCAGTGATGTGATCATAAGTCACTGTAGCCTCAAATTCCTGGGTCCAAGTGATGTTCTTGCCTCAGCCTCCTGAGTAGATGGGACTACAGGTGTGTGCCAGCATGCCTGTTTCTTTCTTTTGTTATTTTTTGTTTTTTTAGTTTTGCGTGGTAAGACTGGGATTTGTAATTTGAGATACTTCTTGTAGTTTTTATGTGCCCTTGTTAGTTGAGATCCACTCACCTAGTGGGTTTTATCTTTTACTGAAAAGGATTACAAAGTAAGACAAGAAAATAAGTTTCCAGAAGCATACAGCTCAGTTAAGAAGATGAGACATTTGCGTTTATTTAAAAATTCAGCACTTAAACATGGAGCATTCATTTTGTTGTAAGGCAATGCAAAGCTGATTATCAAGATTACACAAATTGGGACTGTGCATCAGGGTCCCCAAATACCCCCATGTTCAGAGTCACCAGGAACACTCGGGACTCAGCATATTGTTGTACTTATGACTAAGATTTATTACAGTGACATTTTAAGGACACACAGCTGGATCATAAATGAAAAAGGTACAGACAGAATCTGGAAGAATCCATGTGCAGGTCTCCTAAGCTCCCTCCCTCCCATAAGGGTCAGAGTTTACTATCCTCTGCAACAAAAATTTAGTAGCATGTTTTTGATATTTCTGCTCAGGAAAGACCATTAGAGATAAGTGCCCAAGGTCTTTACTGAGAGCTGGTCATGTAGGTATTCTCTGCCTAACATGTGCTGATCATATTGTTTGTATGCAGTTTTGGCATAGTAAGCCACTTTTATCAGTTAGGAAATAGTAGGGACATTCCCGAAACCCACATTCTCAGATGCCAGCCGAGGGCCAATCTTGCAAGCAGGGCTTTCTGTGGATAGTAGTTTCAGACCTGATGCTCTTTTCTGCGCAGACTGCTTTAGGAGGTCAGAGAAAATGGGGTTTTTATTGACTTCTTTTATTTTTATGTTACTGTGCTAGGTACTGTGGGTATAATAGGGAGCATTAGAGATATATTTCCTGCCCACATAGTGGTTACTTGCTAATGGGAGAATAAAAAAAGAACAGGGTAGCAAGTAAGCATGAAAAATTTCAGATCCTGCTAAGTGTTATTGCAGAAGTAAATTAGAGGAGAGAATCTGTTAGTCTGCTCAGGCTGCCATAACAAAATACCATATTTAGGGGAGCTTAAACAACAAAATTTATTTCTCAGTTTTAGCGATGGAAAGTCCAAGATCAAGGTACCAGCATGATCAAGAGTTGAGGGCTCCCTTCCAGACTTGTAGACAGCCACCCTCTCACTGTGTATTCACGTGGCCTTTTCTCAGTGTGTGCATGTAGAGAGGGAGAGTAAGTAATCTCTCTGGATTTTCTTTCTTTCTTTTTTTTGTTTTTTGAGACAGGGTATCACCTAGGCTGGAGTGCAGTGGCACAGTCACGGCTTATTGCAGCCTTAACTTCCTGTGATCACGTCAAGTGATCCTCCCAAACAGTTGGGACCACAGGTTTACACCACCACACCTGGGTAGTTCAGAAAATTTTTTTTGGTACAGAGTTTTATCATGTTGCCCAGGCTGCTGTCGAACTCTGGGGTTCAAGTAATCTGCCCGCTTCAGCCTCCCAAAGTGCTGAGATTACAGAGGTGGGCCACTGTGTCTGGCCTTCTGTCTAGTTTTATAAAGACAATAACCCTATTTGATCAGGGTCTTACCCTTACGACCTCATTTAACCTGACTTCTTTAGAGGTCCTGTCTCCAAATACAGCCATGCTGGGAGTTAATCTTCAATATACAAGTTTTGGGGAGACACAACATGGAAAACCGAATTGTAGACATGAAAGATGTGAAATGAGCATGGGGAAAAGTGTCTCGAAAAGGAACGACCGATAAGAATATGTTAAGTCAGAAAATGACTGTTACTTTAAGAAACAGAAAGGAAGTCCATGTGGCTGAGGTCAGTATGCCAGAGAGATACAGGTAAGTTGGAGAGAGTGTGGGAACTAGATCATGTCTCAACTTGTAGGCAATACAAAAGTGTTATAATTGAGTGAAGAAATTTTGAAACGTAAAACCTTTAAAATTGTGAAAGTTTAATCTGACTGCTGAATAGACGATGTAATATCGGAAGCAGGTAAACCAATTAGAAGGGTATTTCAGGCCAGGCTTGGTGGCTCACTCCAGTAATCCCAGCACTTTGGGAGGCTGAGGTGGGCAGATCACAAGGTCAGGAGTTCGAGACCAGCCTGACTAATATGGTAAAACCCTGTCTCTACTAAAAATACAAAAATTAGTGTCTGTAGTACCAACTACTCAGGAGACTGAGGCAGTGAAATGGAACCTGGGAAGTGAAGGTTGCAGTGAGCCGAGTTTGGGCCACTGCACTCTAGTTTGGGTAACAGAGTGACACTCCTTCTCAAAAAAAAAAAAAGATATTTCATTGAGATAATGTGACAGTTTAGAGCAGAGCAAGTGATGGAGAGAGTGGGACTATTTGGAATGCACCACAAATGAGCAAACATAAGGCAATTTCATTTTTCTATTAGGAAAAAAATAAGGGGAAGACATGTAAATTTCAAACACATACTTAATAGTTCAATAGTGTGATTATATTTAACATGAGTATAAGTTTATAAGTATTTCATTTTCTGCTCCCGTATTTTCTGATACTGTTTTATTGAAACTTCCCATACATCTTAAAATTAATTTATTAGGCCTAACACAATGTTTGCAGTCCCAGCAATTTGGAAAGCTGAAATAGAATGACTACTTGAGCCCAGCCTGAGCAACACGGTGAGACCCCATCTCTACAAAAAAATTCTAAAAATTATCTTGAGCACGATGGCATGCACCTGTAGTCCCAGCTACTCAGGAGGCTGATTTGGGAGGATCACTTGAGCTGCAGTGAGCTATAATTGCACCACTAAACTCCAGATTGAGTGAGAGGGCAAGACCCAGTCTCAAAAAACAAAATTAATATGTTTATAGTGAAGTCTTGATTTCAACTCTCATATGTCTCCCTCAGTCTTCCTGAATTCAGTAACACCATAATCTACCAAATTGTTGAAACACTAAACCTAAGGATCATTCTTAAAGAGTTTCACTCTTGTTACCCAGCAGGCTGGAGTGCAATGGCGCGATCTCGGCTCACCACAACCTCCGCCTCCTGGGTTCAGGCAATTCTCCTGCCTCAGCCTCCTGAGTAGCTGGGATTACAGGCACGTGCCACCATGCCCAGCTAATTTTTTTTTTTTGTATCTTTAGTAGAAACAGGGTTTCACCATGTTGACCAGGATGGTCTCGATCTCTTGACCTCGTGATCCACCCGCCTCAGCCTCCCAAAGTGCTGGGATTACAGGCTTGAGCCACCACGCCCAGCATCCTAAGGATCATTCTTGATCCTCTTTTTCCCTTTATTTTCTCCATACCAAATACATCAGCAAATCTTACTGATTCTACCTCCACCATATAATCCTACAAAAATATTAATAACCTTCAGTTGACCTTTAAATTTGTGGAATGTTTTCACATTACTGATTATCTTATCTCTAGGTACAACCTCACAAAAAGTTCTAAGTATAGATTTTTATTGAAAAATGGGCCCAGCATGTTGGCTTATGCCTGCAACCCCAACATTTTCTTAGGCTAAAGTGGGAGAGTTGCTTGAGCCCGGGAGTTCAAGAAGAGCCTGGAAAACATAGGGAAACCCTGTCTCTACAAGAACAACAGCAAAACTAGCTAGTTGTGGTGGTTGCATGTCTGTGTATTCTGGCTGCTTGGGAGGCTTATGTATAAAGCTCTCTTGAGCCTGGGAGGTTGAGTTTGCGGTGAGCCATTATCATAACAACACATTTCAACCTGGGCAACAGAGCAAGACTCTATCTCTAAAAATAGGTGTTTTGAAGTGCACTTAAACAATAGTATAAATGGTTATATCATGAGGATAATTGGAAGAGAGCTATATAACAAATGACTGTTGAACTGTCAGACTAATTTTAGAATGGGAACTTGGGTCTTGGGATAGTTTTAGTGAAAGTACACATGGATCTTAAAGTTCTGTGCTTGAACAGTTTAGATGAAAGATGATGTAGTTTTCAAAATGGTTTGCATTAAATAGTTTTCTTAATAGTAATGTGAAGATGTGTATGGCAAGTTTAAATAAAACTTTTGAATGAGAAAAACATGAACTATTTCTCATTCGTTAAGCTTGAAATGACTACCTAAATATGTTCATTTTCTTCTTAGTATTTACTACAGCATATAGTTCTGTTGTTTTAAAAATATTATTTCTTTATCTTTTCCATTACAATTTAAGTTTTATAGTGACGAGGACCTTATTGTTTCTCTTGTGTCTCTCGTACCAAACACACTACTTGGACATAGTATATACTTAGAAAGTATCAAATGAATTAATTACTCAAAACATTGGGTCAAAGCTTCTTCCATCCTTTTTGCTTTGCTTCTTATTGCTCTTCATGTGTTTTTTACATTCCGTGTTTAATAAACATACTTGCCAACAACCACAGGTGACTTAATCTTCAGTTACTTTCCTGTTTCTGTTTTTAGCATGTCCTTGCAATACCTAGAAGATGGTTATTATACTTGGAACTTATTTCAGACTAGAAAACTAAACCTTAAAAGCAGCCAACCCCTCAACATAGCATTGCTAGGTTTTTTTTTCCCCAGAAAGCACAGCCAAACATTTTTATTTTGTTTGTTTCCTTTATAGAAGTCTGGAAAGTAGATGATAACATGATGTGGCACGAGGATAACCCAGACCAGCTTAAAATTATAAAAAGAGGTGATGAATGTGATGCATTTGGAAAAAATTTCAATCTGAACATGAACTTTGTTCCTCTAAGTAAATCAAACAGTGATGGTGACTTAGATGGATTGATTTTAAAACATCATTTAGATTTGCTTATTCCAAAAGGAGATTATGTAAAAACAGTATCAGATGACTTTAATGTGTTTGATAATTTTTTTCTCCATTCCAAGCCTGAGGATACTGATACCTGGTTAAAATACTATGACTGTGATAAATTTAAAGACACCTATAAAAAGTCACAGATTATCATATATCATAGAAATCGTTTAGGGGAGAAACTGTATGAATGCAGTGAATGTAGGAAGCGCTTCACTAAGAAACCAAGTCTCATTAAACATCAGAGCAGACATATAAGAGACATAGCCTTTGGCTGTGGTAAATGTGGCAAAACCTTTCCCCAGAAGTCTCAGTTTGTTACACATCACAGAACTCATACAGGAGAAAAACCTTATAATTGTAACCAGTGTGGGAAAGCCTTCTCCCAAAAGTCACAGCTCACATCCCATCAGCGGACACATACAGGAGAGAAACCATATGAATGTGGTGAATGTGGGAAAGCTTTTTCCCGGAAGTCACATCTCATATCACATTGGAGAACACACACAGGAGAAAAACCCTATGGATGCAATGAATGTGGGAGGGCCTTTAGTGAAAAGTCAAATCTCATTAATCATCAGCGAATTCATACCGGCGAGAAGCCCTTTGAATGCAGGGAATGTGGGAAAGCCTTCAGCAGGAAGTCACAACTTGTTACCCATCACAGAACTCACACAGGAACAAAACCCTTTGGATGTAGTGATTGTAGAAAAGCCTTCTTTGAGAAATCAGAGCTTGTTAGACATCAGACAATTCATACTGGAGAGAAACCCTATGAATGCAGCGAATGTCAGAAAGCATTTAGAGAGAGGTCTAGTCTCATTAATCATCAGAGAACCCATACAGGAGAGAAACCGCATGGATGCCTTCAGTGTGGGAAGGCCTTTTCACAAAAGTCACATCTCATATCACATCAGATGACACACACAGGAGAAAAACCTTTTATATGTAGTAAATGTGGGAAAGCCTTCAGTAGGAAATCACAGCTTGTTAGACATCAGAGAACTCATACAGGAGAAAAACCATATGAATGCAGTGAATGTGGGAAAGCTTTCAGTGAAAAATTAAGTCTCACAAATCATCAGAGAATTCATACAGGAGAAAAACCGTATGTATGCACTGAATGTGGGAAAGCCTTTTGTCAGAAGTCACATCTCATATCGCATCAGAGGACACATACAGGGGAAAAACCATATGAATGCACTGAATGTGGGAAGGCCTTTGGTGAGAAGTCAAGTCTTGCAACTCATCAGAGAACTCATACTGGAGAAAAACCGTATGAATGCAGGGACTGTGAAAAAGCATTCTCCCAGAAATCACAGTTAAATACCCACCAGAGGATTCACACTGGAGAGAAACCCTATGAATGCAGTCTTTGCAGGAAAGCTTTTTTTGAGAAGTCAGAGCTAATTAGACATCTGAGAACTCATACAGGAGAAAAACCTTATGAATGCAATGAATGTAGAAAAGCCTTCAGGGAGAAGTCTAGTCTCATTAATCACCAGAGAATACATACAGGAGAGAAACCCTTTGAATGTAATGAGTGTGGCAAAGCTTTCTCTCGGAAGTCACACCTTATACCACATCAAAGGACACATACTGGTGAGAAGCCCTATGGATGCAGTGAATGTAGGAAGGCCTTCTCTCAGAAGTCACAGCTGGTCAATCATCAGAGGATTCATACAGGAGAGAAGCCTTATCAGTGCAATGCATGTGGGAAAGCTTTCTCCCAGAAGTCACAGCTCATCAATCATCAGAGAACTCATACAGTAAAAAAATCCTAGAAATACAGTTAATAGGAGTCTTTGATCATATCTTGGACTTTAGGAAATACAGTTATAACAGTTTAGACAGTCACATTGTGTTATGTGTCTGTACTCCATTAGAATGGGAACTATAAATGAGGTGGTGTATGGAAAGCTGATCAGAATTCATAGAGTAGAATGAACTGACAAATGCAGTATATCTTAAAAAGTTTTAAAATCCTAGTCAAGCCTTATATAGTAGAACATTCATAACAAGGAAGAATCCTATGAATATGAGAAAGCCTTCCAGAAGTCAAGTCTGCTAAGCTGTTAGAAATATTCCCACTGGGGATGAGGGAAAACCCCATTAATGCAGGAAATGAGGCAGTATTTTTAAGAAATGACAGTTCATTTTCCATAAGAAAATGTCCTTAGGAATGGAGTCCTGTTAAAGTACTCAACATGGGACAGTGCAACAAGTAACCACACTATTTTGTATTTTGGAGAATTCATATTATGGAGAACCTAACAATTTAAAGACACTGGGAATACTTGCCCCTCCATATAGTACTAGCAAGGGAAGCCATATACTTTTTGTAGACATGGGTACCAGAAATACCCAATTCTAAGAGGTTGACAGATGTTCACTTTGAAGTATTAAAAATATGCAAATAAATTGGTCATTGAAACATCTATAAGAAATTTCTTCCTGGTATTTGTGGCCTATCTTCCAGTGTCACATAAGCTTTGCATTTTGGGCTTACATATAATTTAATGTAATTGGGTGTATGAAATGCATATGCCTTATAGTGCCTCTGATGTCTGTGAAGACACACTACGTATTACTTGCTTTTGTTTTTTAACAATAATACAAAAAATGGAAACTCGTAACATGGCTTACTTGAATAAGTAGCTTAATTGATAACACATTTCTTTTTCCTTATTATAGACATATATAAGGGGGTATTTTGTTTTTACTGATCTTTCTATTCAGTAACCGAAGCCAACATTATGTAAGTTGTCTGCATCCTCAGAGTCTTGAGTAACAGTTTATATAAAATAAATATGCAAAGGCAGGAACCACAGAATAACCATAGTGATATATAACTGAATGAGCAAAATAATGATGTGTCGACTACATTGCAACACCCAAACTAAATGAAATAAAGTAGTACTGTATCAGATCTTTTTTTCATTTAGTGAGATGCCTCTGTACATTATATAAATGTGTCTTAAGTCATGTGTAATCCAAATACCACTATTTTAGTTTACTCTGATAAGGTATTATAGATATTTTGTGCTATTAGGTTTTTGTGTTGCATAAAATATCTTGTAAAAGTTAGATGTATAAGTGAATGCAAAGTCACATTAATGAAGATGTAATGTATTAGGGAATTTTGTGCTAAAATTTTTTTTGACATTCAAGAAAGTGTGTTTTATCTTCCAGCAAATTTCTGTGGTTGCTGGAAAAGTACAGATTCTCCTGGACTTACAGTGGGGTTACATCCCAATAAACCTATTGTAAGGTGAAAACATTGTAAAGTCAAAAATGCGTTTAATACACCCAACCTAGCAAACGTCATAGCTTAGCCTAGCATACCTTAAACATTCTCAGAACACATTCTAATGCATATTCTATTTTGTAAAGAGGTGTTGAATATCTCATGTAATTATTGAATACTGAAAGTGAGAAACAGTAGTTGTATGGATACCATTGTAATGCTGAGAAACTGTAAGTCACATCATCTTAAGTCAGGAACTGTATTAGGAAACAAGATTTCCAATATTTTATCATTTGAAATATATTTCACTTTCTTTCACTAGTTGCATTATCTCCATGGAAAACTTCATATTGAGAACTTACCATTATATAAGTATGCCTCCGTTAAAATGCATGAGCCATCTGTTAGCTGAGTATGGATTTTTTAATGTTCTCTCAATAATGTTGCTTGACAAAGTTAATATTTTTGTATGCTGATGAAATTTAGAAAAGTCCGACATTGAGCTTGATTCCAAACTTAGAAAAAATGAAGACTTCTTTTATGTTCAAATTGTTATGTCCGTACGGTATATTGCATCTTTACCTTGAACAGTATTTTCTCTATTTTGCAACATTTTGGTTAAGTTGGAATTTTAAGTAGAATAATTTTCTAAACCAGCATACCAGGAGTTCAGCGGCCATATAATTCTGTCTTTCCATGCTATAACTTTAAAGCATCTAATTTTCCAACTGTTATTCATACTTAAGTGTATGACCTTCCTGGCCAGGCACAGAGGCTCACATATATAATCCCAGCACTTTGGGAGGCTGAGGCGGGTGGATCACTTGAAATCAGGAGTTCAAGACCAGCCTGGCCAACATGGTGAGACCCCATCTTTACTAAAAATTAAAAAAATTAGCCAGGCGTGGTGGCACCTGCCTGTAATCCCAGTTACTCAGTAGGCTGAGGCACGAAAATCACTTTAGGAGGTGGAGGTTGCAGTCAGTCAAGATCACCTGCGCTCAAGCCTGGGCAACAGAGTGAGTCTCTGTCTCAAGGAAAAAAAATCTTCCTACTTTTTAATACCTTGAAGTCATTTTACTAAATGTGGGAGACAAACTTCTGCAAATGAACAGTTACAGGGTGATGTTGTATTTTGTGATTTTTGCCCTATTTTTTCTTTCCATCTATTATCATTCTCTTGCCAACCCCAGAGATTGATTCATTAGGCCTTGGAAATTGTAGATTATTCCATTAACCATTAAGCAGTTAAACCTAATACTTCCTACACTAGATAATGGAACTTCAACACTAGCTTATTGATTCAGTGCCCCAAAGCAAAAATTTTTTCTAAACATCAGGTGTTACAGGGGGAGGGAGGACCGATGCTGACAACAGAGGTCAAGTTAAGAACTGATGGGGAGGTTCAAATACATTGTGCACTAATCACTGGAACTCACCATTCTGAAGTGCCATGAGAGCTCCGATTCTGAAATTAGAGATTTTTAGTGTGTTTTTGAAATTACCTTGGAAACCATAAAACTATGTCTCTCTGTTGCTACTTACTGGTTCCTACCACAAATCCTGCATCAAGAAGAAAGTTTTAAAGTTAAGAGTGGATTTTTATTTTATGGCACACAATAAGGTACTCTGAGGTAACGTGCTACAGGAGGCCACATACAGGAAGCATCACCTCTTGTTCTCTTACCATCTGGGTTTTCCCACTGACCTGGAATTGTGCACACTTCTGCAAAGGACAGTTTACATTGTTTTCCTTTTACTAGGCAGTGGGTTTTCTTTGAGGTCCAGACTGAATTTTGAAACCTGTACCAGGATTGCCTTCCGTTTGGTTTTTTCCTTGCATAATCTGACATCAGGATCTATGGACCCATATATTTGTGGAACTTTGGTTTCAAGAATATAACTTTTAGACCTTTGAGATAAAATGCACCCAGAGAATGCCAGATTTATCAAAAGTAACTTTGTAGCAGAATCTAGAGCAATAGGCATTTGGAATCTACATTTGAGACCTTCTCAGTCATTTGGTCGTTCCCAATATATGTTCAGGTTGCACTTTGAGAGGCCGTGTTAGTGTATCAGTAAGATTTCAGATGTTCAACACCTACCCCTGGCCGAACTGCTGATAATCTTGACCAACCGTCACCCTAAACTTGACCAACCATCACCCCTGCAGATGCATGCATGTTTTCTGTACCTTGCTGTAATCTTTTAGTCCATTTTTCATATGTATACATAGTGACTATTTTTAAATGCAACTCGGATTACACGTCTCATGTTGAAATATCACGTGGCTCATTGTGGACTTAAAAGTGTAATATTCTCCTTATGGAATGCAAGGACTTTTGTCCAAACCAATGCCTATTCACTGGTCCCTTCTGAAAATTTTTCTTCCTATGCAATATTTTCTTGCCTCTGTGAGCAACTTGTAATACTTTGAGATTTCTATTATGTCTTTTGCTTTTGCAAATCTGCAGTTGAAATGCCCTTGTTCCTTGTTAATGCCTATCAAATTTATATGAACCTGTACATGTGTATCTCACTGTGATAATATAATCATTGCATGTTTTATCTTTTCCACTTTAAAGCTTCTAGAGAGCTAGGACTATCTTTTTTGTCCACGTAATTTTAGCATCACAAGCTATATTTACATGTGGGTGCAGTGAGTGGCTATGTTTTCTACCACATGGAGAAACATGGTCTGCAGTGAGAGAGAAGAATGAAGCCATCATGGAAGCAAAATCAAGAGAGTCCTGATTGTGTTCCAGTACTGGGTTCTTCTGGTCTCGATGTCCAGATCCACCTCTGCCCTTTTCATACCTTGATTGTTGAATTCTTCTGTGGGATACTTCAGATAGCCTAATAAATTCTCATGTTTGCTTCATCTGGTTCAAGTTGTGTTTGTTACAACCCAAATATTTCTAACAGAGGAAATCAGGCTATGTCATAACTTGTTCTCTGGAAGTAGTTATGGAGAAGTTTGGGTGCAAGATGTCTATTTAGGATCAGTAGCTGTGAAATGATAGAAGAATAAATAAGAAAACATTGAGCTAAGGAAGAAGTCAATTTGCACGCATTTGGAGCCAGCAGGGACTTGTGAAACATGTAGTGCTCATCAGAGTGCCTCAGACTGAACCAGGATGTCCAGGCCTTTATAACCCTGCATTGCTCACTTAGTTGCCCAGAATCAGACTGCCCTGGGCAGGAAGCAACCCTCAGTGAGCAGCTCTTTTCAGCTGAGTCCAGTGTCACAGGTGGAGGCTTTCTGCTGATGACCCTCCCTGCCCTGGGCAAGTCCCTCCTTGAGGAACAATCTGAGTAATAATTCTTGTTTGTGGTCACACAGGCCATCCTTTCCACTGCTTAGATCCCCTTGTCTATGTTACATTTGGGAAGCTGTCGCTCTAGGATTATGGTGGAGTGCTGTCTGAGGAGAGACCAAGAAAAGGCAGATTTGTAGGACAGACCGCAGCCCCTCATGTTGCATTTGCTTTCTGTTATTCACTGTAGATGCTGGTCACACTCCATTAGCACCTCTGCTGACATAAGTGGCTTACGTAATAGTCTGTCCCAGACCCTTATTCCTTAGGGGGTCAGGGCTCTGGGTACCATGTCCTTTTCAGGTCTAAGTTGCCGTATTTGTCCATTTACATCCCATTGTGGCAAGGAGTGCAGAGAGGCACCTAGGGGGACCATCTGTGTCCCACTCTTCTTCCCTCCTACCCTGTTGTGTAACAGCAGCTGTACCTTCTGCTGATCAATGTCTGTGCCCCTGCAAAGAGTGGCTTTTCTGGAATGCCATTTCCTGGACACAAGGAGTACAGAGTTCCATGTTGTATCTGTAGCTTATAATTTAGAACACTCACTCTGTCCTCTGGTAAAAAGTGCCCCCCTTGGGACTAATCCTTGATGTTTGACTTTTATATGGTGCTGTGCTTTCAAAGAGGAAGAACACATGGGTTTGGGTATCACAGTGTGGAAGCAGGAAGGGCCTCACTTGCCACCATCACAAATGATCCTCTTGGACTTTCTACTTCCCATAACCACAACTCTGGGTTCCGCAGGGGTTCAGAGAGTGAATATTGCTCTGGGAGCAAAACTGTAGTTCTGTTGTTGTTCATTTCATGTATATTTATTTCATCGCCTACTTTATTTCACTTGATGTGAGTGCAAATGTACTTATCCTCTTTTCTGAA